TATATATATATATATATATATATATATATATATATATATATATATATATATATATATATATATATATATATATATATATATATATATATATATATATATATATATATATATATTGGTAACAGACTGTTGTTAATGCAACATTTCAAAAATTCAACACTTCTTTCAACATTGTTCAACTTTTTTATATTTCTTTTTAACTTATTAATTTCAGAGAATTAGACATTTTATTGTTTTAAAAAAATTTTTTTTTATTAAATAAATTTGCAAATAGCTATTTCGAGTTATAAATAACTCATCTTCAGTCCATTATATATAAGGTATGTAAGATATTTGATAAGAAGGAACAAGTAATTATTAATTTATATAAATTATTTAATTCTGTTGAGTTAGCATTGATTTGTCGAATAATTTGGTTAGTTTTCGTTTTAAGCGATAGTGTTGGATTTTTAGTTATCAGTTTAAATTTGGTTTCATCTTTCGATATGTCATTTAATTTAGATAAATAAGTTTTATTGTCTAATATTACGTATGAATTAGATTTATCGGCTTTCAGTATTTTTATATTTTTATTAGTTTTTAAATTTTTAGCAGCAATTTTCAATTCGTTCGTCAACAATTTGCTATTACACGAATTTCGTCTTTTGTTAGATTCACTTAATAATTCATTGGCTAATTGTTGATTTACTTTCACATTTCCTAATTGTTCTTGTTTCCAAATTTCATTTATCAACATCTCATTCTCAATATGTTTATTTATTTGTAGTTTGTTTTTTATGAGATGACAATTTAAGCCGAGGTTCAAAAATTGTTTTTCATCTATTGTCAACTGATGGCTACTAAGATTAAGGAAATGATCTTGGTGTTGTGGCAACAAAACTGGTCCGCGATATAAATTGTAAACATTATTGATATTGATAACAATATTGATGATGTAAACAACAATCATACCAATAGTGACAACCTTAACAACAACACCAACAACAACATCAACAATAACAACAACAACAGTGCCAACACTGTAGATACCAAGCTACAACCCACAGCGCAAATATCAGTTGCAATTGGAACATCATCAATAGTGACAACCCTAACAACAACATCAACAACACCAACAACAACATCAACAACAACAGCAGCAGCATCAACAATAACAACAACAACAATACCATTGGATACCAACACCACAACCCAACAACAAACAACAACAACACACGTTTAGACGGCATTTTCCCCGAGATCGGGGGTTGCCGTTTGGCTACCTATGATGAAACCGAAATACCCCTCGACGCCATCCAAATCTGTCACTCGTCTCAGTATCACGCAACCCCGCTTTCACCCTGTCCTTCTCCACCTGCTCTCTCCATCCCAATCGCGGACGACCCCTTCCTACCACTCCTTCAACCTCGAACTCCAACTGTGATCCAACGCCACAACCCACAGCGCAAATATCACTTGCAAATGGAACATCATCACAAGAAGCAAGAAGATCCACAGCGATGATAATAATAATAATAACGTTAACAATAATAATAATAATAATGTTTTTAAATATTGTAAAAATAATATTAATAATATGTAGTTAATTAAATAAATTAATTCGCGCCTCTCGGCTGAGCGTTGATATTTACCTTAACAACCATAATATAAACAATCTTGCCGTTAAAATTTTAAAAATCGCGTTTTATATTGTTTATAGTTATTAAATTTATTTTATTGGTTTTCTGTTTTAATTTAATAATTTATATAAATTAATAATTACTTGTTCCTTCTTATCAAATATCTTACATACCTTATATATAATGCACTGAAGATAAGTTATCTATAACTCGAAATAGCTATTTGCAAATTTATTTAATAAAAAAAAAATTTTTAAAAACAATAAAATGTCTAATTTCTCTGAAATTAATAAGTTAAAAAGAAATATAAAAAAGTTGAACAATGTTGAAAGTAGTGTTGAATTTTTGAAATATATATATATATATATATATATATATATATCAATCAATCAATCTTCGTTTTGCGTCCAGAGACCCGGTTTCTAGAGGTAGGACGTTGTTTTCTTTGCCATATATATTCTTTGAAGATGAGGCTTTTGATGTAATGCATATTGCTCCGCGCTCATCTTTAATTTAGAGACAATCCGTAATTAAAAACAAACATTTATGTCAGATATGTTGACGATATCTTCGTCACATACAATGATCCGGAACTAGTCAGCCAGCTACTAGCAACCCTGAACCAATCAAAATTGAATTTCACCCTCGAGCACGAAAGTGAAAATTCATTGCCGTTTCTGGATGTTTTGGTAATGCATGACGAACAAAGATATACAACTGCCGTATACGTCAAAGGAACAAATAAAGGTATTTGTTTAAATG